ATTTGCACCTGTGCAAGACTTAGCATTTTGACATGAACAATGCTCTGAGGGTCAATACTGGCAATACCAACAGTCTACTGAAAAAACAAGGCAACTGATTTCAAGTAGTTGTCCCTGCTTCTTGAGGAACTGAGATGTTATTGATACTACTCTGTTGTTGTTTATTCAAGGAGTCAATGATGAGTTTGCAGTGACCAAAAATTAGTTTTGTGAATAGTACATATGGAACAACCGTACCTGAGAATATTTTCAAAGTTGAGAAAAAATTCAGTACAATCTGAAATGGAATTTGCTAAGATGTGTAGAACCCAAAGAGGGTTACTTGAACAGATTTATGATTGTTAAAATGTAAGACATATGGTTATTCCTTGAAGAACTTATTAGCAGGTGCATTGTGAAAAATATTTGAATCTTTCATGTGTTATTGAGATAGTAGTGTCATCTTTAACCTTCTTTTGTTCTCATCAATTTAACCATCTTCAGTTCTATGAAATTTTGTCAAAAATAGAATCTGAATATTCTGACTGGTCTGCACAGCAGTTTGATGGCTTACTGGTAAAGTTTTATTGGAAGTTTTTTCAGATCAAGGCTAATAAGACTGAAATTTTTCTAAACAAGAACTTCCCTCAATCACTATTATTAAATACTGAAATGCTTATGGAAGTAAGTTTTTGCTGCAGGGTTGGCAATGTTTCTTGATGAATCCAACCTAAAATTACAAGGCAAAACAACTTATGCTGTGGTAAAGTTATTTTGATGATGGACAGTCTTGTTTGAATCACAAGTAATAGCACATTGCTTGATAAACTCCCCATACTATAAAAGTTTAAAACAAGAAGTGAAATCTCCATTTCCACACAAATCTGTAGTGGCTATATTTACTGAGCACATACTCCAGGGCCAACAGTGTTTTTGTACACTCATGGCAATGAAAAGTAAATTTCTTTATTTCAAAGTCCTTTTTTCTGTTCAGTTGAGGAACTTCCAGCTTAACCTTCTGTTGGAAGTGATAAATCTGCAATGTGTCAACCTGCTAAAAGAAAACTATCAAGAGGAAAATCTAATAGAATTCTATAAATGATTTCTAAGTGATGCATAAGCCCAATTAAAATTATATGCTTATGACCTGATGTATTTGGAAATACCTATCTGCATAAAAGGACATTTTCAAAGATGAAATGCAGTACAGATCTGAATTAACAGATTAACATATGCTATTGATTTTGGTTGAAAGAAACAGTAACTCTGAACCACAATTAAGCAAAATTAGACTCCAAAGAAGAATTTCATTCACCTCATTCCTAGATCTGTATTAAAACAACAAAACCCCTAAATTGTAGTTATGTTTTAAATTTTGCCCATAAAAATTATGTGGAAATTTGTTTTCTCTCTGTTTACATGAGTTTTACATAATATCTTCAGTTTTGCCTCTTGGCCTGCAATGCCTAAAATATTTACTATCTGGAACTTTGTTTAAAAAATTTACCAACCCTTGTATTAAAGCATAAATCTACAAAAGTTACCCACGTATTTAAAATTGTTAAATGGATTTCCAGTTGGCTAAATATCTCAGAGTCCATGACTTGGGAATGGAAATACTAGGTAAAGAAAGGAAGGTAGGAGAGGGTTGCATGCAGCTAGGGTTGATTTTATGCCCAACTCAAGACTCATTGTAATATCTGGTGGTAAAACAAACATGATTACTTAGGAAATGAGCAGTAACTATTTTTCTCTTCTCAGCAGCAATTCATATGTAAATTGCCATAATAAAGCAATTCTACTTAGATTTTTTTTTTCACAGTTTTGAATGAGGATTTTTATGACATAATAATATTCTTATTATATATTAATATAATAGTAATAATATTCCCATATATTAGTAACTTGACTTGAATAAGTTACATTAAATCTATTACGTTCTATGTCTAAGTGGTTTTCTTTAACCATAATTGGGTGCTGTTAATGACACCATTTATATTAATTCATTCTCCATTTTTTTTTAGTCTTGGCTGTAGAAAGAATCTGGCACTTCTCATCTATTCATTACACAGATATTTACTGAGCCTTACTTTATGCCAATAGGACACAAAAGGTGCCTCCCTTTATGGGGCTTGCATTCTTGTTCCCAGTATAATTTTTAGTTAATAAAAATGTGTGTCATAATCTTTACAAAGAGAATTTACACTGCTAAAAACAAAACACAGATTTATTCTAAGAAGGTCCTATTATCTGAGGAAAATTGGTTCTACAATATGACCACAAGTATGAATCTATTTAAGACAGGCACCAAAAATGCACCATAAGTAGGGGGAAAATGGTAAATTGGTAATTTAATTTGAAAAAATAAAATGAAGAATTATAAATATAAATTTTTTAACTAAAATTTATTTATATAAATAAACATGTTTATTTATATTTTATTTATTTATATTTATTTATTTAAATATACCCCAAACCTTAAAAAAAAGGAATCAAGATCTCGTTTTGATATATGGGTCTTAATTTTTCTAATGACATCATATGTTAGAATGTAATATCTTTCCTCTCTTGTTCAACTTTTCAGAATGATCATAAAGTAGATCTGCATCGCTTTGGTAAAAATGTAGGTACTTAGGCAAACATGGCCTTCTCATGTTTTCTGAATGCTTGCCTTCACATTCGATACTGAAATTATTTTCTCTTGAAGCCATAACACTGAAAAACCCATAACATTGAAGATTCGAAATAATAAACACTCAGCAATAAGGATTCTTTGTTGTTTTGATTTATACAGTCAATCTTGATCCTGTAGATCCAAAAGAAACCAAGATAATGAAGTCAATTTTCTTCCAGAAAAAACAATAAATAACATAGAGGTGTGAATAGCCTCTAAATTAGCTACCTAGAGTTCACCTATGCTAATCAAGTCTGAAAGAAAGTAAAGCCATGTTTTGGTTTGGAAACTTAGAATCTTGAGCTAGAGGTAGGCAGTAGTCTATAAATCACAGTACTAGAGTAAAATCACAGAATCCCTCGCCTCCCAAAAAACTGGAGTCTTAGCCCCAACCCTTTCTCAATTCCAGCTAAGGATGCCAATCAGCAACTTGACTTGGCAGCAAACCATCACAAAATGTTGAATCTTCTTATAAAATAATGGTAATCAGGCAGACTCTAGGTATCTACATAGCTCAGAGGAAAATCCCTTCGATTTTCTTTTATAACGATTTGTGCTGGTACTATGCATCTTTGAATATTAAAAAAAAAAAAAAAAAAAAAAAAAAAATTTAAAGTGGATTTGTCCAGAGACTCTATTTGGTCATGATTTATTTTTCTTTTTAATTTACTCAGAACTTTCCAAATAAACCAGATGCTTTTAATGATTTGCTTGAATATATGTTCAGTAATTCCTTTTTGCAAGTGTGACATCCCATATCTCTTTCTGTTTACTTGGCATGACAGTATCATGGTTTTGTAAATACTGAAACAAATGGAGGCTAACTCCCGCTAGAAAAAATCAAAGCTTTAAAAGGCCACTGAAAAAGTGGAAATAAGTTTCTCTCAAATGTCAGAGTTCTTGTGTGCTAGTTTTGTTTCGGCTCCAATTAAATTCCAGGTGAAGCTATTTTACCCTCATGGGACATCTGCCTCCTTCAGGGTAGAGAATTGAGGGGATTGAGTCTTGACCTATCTGCGTTATGCCCCAAGGAGAACCAGAAGGATAACATCCCTAGTTTTAGTTCACAAAATAAATACCAATACCTGAATAGTTATACACTTTTTGCAAAAATCTGTTAGAACACTTTCAAATTGTAGAATCATTATAGTTTTGGAGCATGCCTTTAGGTATGTGCTTAGTAATATATTGTGCAAGGACTTAAAATGCAATACCCACTGCAAATTTAATAATTATAACTAATGCTTGGGCCGAGCCCGTGGCGCACTCGGCGCTGGGAGCGCAGTAGCGCTCCCGCCGCAGGTTCGGATCCTATATAGGGATGGCCGGTGCGCTCACAGCGCTCACTGGCTGAGCGCAGTGTGGCCGGTCACAAAAAGGACAAAAATAATAATAATAATTATAACTAATGCTTAATGAAAGTTAAGAATTTAATAATTTGATGGGAAGTATCTTCTTAACACAAATATCTGAATTAAAGATTTTATAATAAATTTACAAATTTTTTAAAATAAAAATTTACAACATGTTGTTAAAAGGCAGACTTACCAAATTTGGCTTAAATATATATAAGAAAACAAGGTCTTGGTTCATAAATTTTTTGTGCAAGAAAAGAAGTGACTTTACCTAAAGTGGTGACAGTACTTAAAACTAAAAGTATTCCAATTGTCTAATTCCTCTGTGGTATTGTTTGCACTAATCAATTGCTTATTGCACACTTATAAAACAAACCTCAATATAATATGTTCACATTTTTTAATACTAATCAACCTACTGGACGACATCAACCTGAAATGAAAAATACCCAAGTTCAGTTTGTATTGTGCCACTTAAAATTTGTCAAACTCTAAACATGTCGCTGAAGTCCCTCAGACCTTAGTTTCCATCTTTGTAAATTGATATTTGTATTCTAGAGTCATTAGCATCACTATCTAATTTTTTTAATCCTGAATTGCTGGGGTCTAAGATATCTGTTAGCAAATGCAGCAAATGAAAAATATTTATAATTCCCATCTATTTATGCTACTTACAGAGAAGCTTCTACAACATGTAGAAGACAGACTTAAAATTGAATTTTCCAAAATGCACGTGTTCAAAGAAAGTCTTCACTATCCCTCCATAGTTAGAGATGATTGTTAGACAAGGCATCTAAGAGAAATCCCCAGCCACTCATCCAGCATCATATCGCTCTTTAGTCTTTCTGAGAGCAGATGTATTTAATTAAAGATATCACTGGCTTCTCATGAAAGAACTCATGAATTAATTCAACAGTAATTTATTGAGTGCTCGCATCGAAGGTGCTAGAACAAATATTATTCATATCTAATTTTGTGATTATTTTTTCTAGGACCCACCGATCTCAGCATGAAGAGGCAATTGGCAACTAGCTCAGGATCCTCCAGCAGTTCAAGTTCCCGACCCCAGCTGAGTCCAACTGAAATCAATGCCGTGAGACAGCTTGTTGCAGGATATCGAGAATCAGCTGCATTTTTATTGCGTTCTGCAGATGAACTGGAAAATCTCATTTTACAACAGAACTGAGTCAAATGATGGCTGTGTTCACAGAGGTCTAAATTTGCAGTTTCCACTAATGACATTTTGATTTCCCAGCGGAGATTCTTCTGATCTTACTGCACAATCTTTTAAGAGAAATACTTCCATTATACCAAACTGTCCTTGATCCATAAAGTGATGTGTTAAGGTGCTTCAAAGGAACTCTGACCTCTGAAGTACTTGAGATTCTTTAATGTGTCCAGCCTATTGCTTTTTGTCTTAGTGTGTCAGCTAAATACCGGGGGGCAAAAAAGGCTGTATATTTTTAATTCAAGGAATAAAACAGAAGAAGTTTGTGGTACAAAAATCTAGTTCAAGATCCAACTGAAATATTAGTGGAATTTGCTACTGACTCATAGGACTGAAAGCTGAAGTATCTAGCAAAAAAAAAAAAATCCAAATTTCTTGTTGCTACAGTATATAACAACAATGAAAAGGATCTTGTATTTTAAAAAATATGTAATTTTTATAAAAAGAAAACTTGTTTTTCATTCAGAAGTGTCATTTTTACTTTGGTAACTTTTTCATAGGTCCTAAAAGAAAACTGTTTTGAGAAATTACTGTAAGTACCTTTTCCACATCCCTTTGCCTTCTCCTCTTTCCAAATTCTTTCTACAAAATAACAATGCTGGAAAAATCCTTGCCTACGTTCTTTAAATCGTCACTTCAGGAACTACTTCAAGAGAAGCCTGAATTTCTGCATTCATGCTGATCTCAAAAACCCCGCTCAACACTGCAACTTTACCATAGCAGTTTTCACCACAGAATTTTTTAATATTAAAAAAGACATATCATTGGGGAAAAAAAAAAAATCTCACCTTGGTTTCTTAGAGCTGCTCACTCCTGATTGCCGCTGCTGTCTTACAGGCATTCCTCCAGCAGCAGTTGGATATAGATGACTGAATGTTAAGAGGTTGCAAGTGACAATCTGAAAATTTGCACTCTTCTGTGTATTTCTTTTCATTTCCCTTTCAGAAATAGTTTCCAAAAGACCATTACATCTCCTGATATGATTTGTATAATTTACATTTTTAGCTAAAAATAACTTAAAGAACTCTCAGCGGATGCAGCTGCAAGTTACAACGAACTGTTCCCTCCTATTCCCCATACTTTACCCTTCTTTCTTATTTTATAGTGTTGGATACACGCGTGATGTTTCTTTGTGCACTGAGGCAAGCCTATTTTTAAAATATTTAGGGAGAAGTACTTTGTTCATGCTTCATGTACAATTTTTTTCTGTTATTTAGCTTTGGTTGGATTACAAATTCTTTGTATATTACTGAATTTGCCTTATTTCATGTAAAATTTATGTCATTCAGTTTTTGACAATGAGTTTAAGGCATTAGTGATATTTCTTATCTACTTGTTACATATAGTTTTTCAAGTAATGACTGTGATTGTGACCAAGTAATGTGCACTTTTTCTTGTAACTGTGGACATTGCTATGCTTTTTTCTTCTAGTGTTTCTAGAATTACTGTTCCTTCCAGTTATGTAAACAAAAAACAAACAAAAAAAAAAGAACTTTTGTGATACTGTTGGTGAATATAATGTGAAAATCTTATTGAAATATGAGTATTTTGGAAATACATAGATGCAAAAACATCTTTTAAGGTGTGGATTTAGAGTTTGCTTATTTAAATGAAAATTCAAAAATTGAGGGCTGGTATAATTTTCTCTGTTTTGTTTGGTTTAATAAACAGATTTCTGTGTTAAAAGAATGATTGTGAAACCTTATAAACTTCTTGAATCATATAACGCTTAATTTTTAACAGGTTGCTTTTAAAATTGAAATGCTATTTATACCTATATTTAGTACAAAATTGACACTCCAAACTTATTTTTCAAGAATATCTCAAAGTCCCCCAGAGTCTCAACATTCAGTCTAATAAAGAATTTATTCCAAGAAGGGGTAAATGCAACTAGCAAGCCAACACTACATCATCTGATTATCTAAACCTAATTTAAATATGTATTTGTTATCTTTTATTCCTCATTTTTCAGGGGTAACCTGGCTCTTTTAGTCCCTCCTGATTTAATGTCTTGGGAGAAGCACATGCCTATTTTATATTTTGGGTTTTGTTGTAATAGTATTTGAAGGCTTTGATATGGTTTCTATCTCACAAATTAATACTCTGGCTTGAGTTTAACATATTCATACATCAAAAATCCTTCATAGTGGGGCCGGCCGGTGGCGCACTGCTACAGTGCACCGCTTGGGAGCGCGGCAGCGCTCCTGCCGAGGGTTCGGATCCCACATACAGACCGGTTCCTGCTCACTGGTTGAGCGAGGTTTGGGCGCAACACCGAGGGTTGCGATCCCGTTGCCGGTCCCGGTCCGGTATGGGCGCGACACTGAGGGTTGCGATCCGTTGCCGGACACGAAAAAAGGGGAAAAAAAAAAAGGGGAAAAAAAAAAATCCTTCATAGTGATAATGAAGCAAATGGAGTAGAGAAGGTAAGTTCCAGCAAGGTGATCTTGTTTTTGTTTCATTTTCTTCTTCAGTAATAACTCCCACACCCACTCATCAAAGACTAAATTGCCAATGTCTTCTGCTTTTTGTACATTTAACCAAAGGAATTGGGAGAGCTCAGAGGCTAAAATAAGGTACTATGTTGCTTTTCTTTTCCTGATTTGTACCTGAAAAACAGCCTGGTACTTTTTTATACTTTGTCACAGTAGAATGAAGAAATTACATCTCTACATAAAGCATCTTGGAGAAACCAAGTGAAGGTTCATATTCTCATTCAAATAAGATGATAGAAAACTATCATAAACACAGAGATCAATTAGAAGTTTCTGTCACTTCTGCCAGTCAGCTCTCTGTACAACATCGGTTTCTTCTCGCATACGTATTACTTTCTCACACTTAATAAGAAAACATGCCTTAAAATAATTAACCATATTGTACGAGCACAAACAGTCACAGAATCTTTGTAAATTGTGTGGTTCAGATAACAGTACTCAGTAGAAAGGGCATTTGGATATAATGATAGCCGCCTTTTACTGATTACGTACACAAGGAAAGGCACTTTGCTTCCTTTACTTCTCACAATAACCTCAGGAGATTGGCATAGTCACTCTCCATTTTACAAAGTAGGCTCAAAAAGGGGAAGTGACGAACCAGGAGCACAGAGACATTGAGAGCTGAAGCCATCGTCTGAGCCCAGCCATACCTGCTACCTCAGCCTACCCTATTGGTCCCAATGGTCTGCTGCTTCCCAAGTACTAAATAATCATATTCTGCACTGTGTCTTGGAACCAGGTTTTTATACTATATATTGGCAGTTTTTCATAGTTACTTTTTAAAAATGCACTTGACTTTTCAAATAAAGTATTTGACTAAACACCGAGTTTTTTCCTGTTACAGAGGTTTAATTTCCTTTATGTTATGTTCTCTACAAATATAAAGAGCCATAACAAAACCCACCACTAATGAAAATCAAATACATGAAGCATGTAAGAGGAAGGCAGTGATTTTTTTTGTGTGTGACCGGTAAGGGGATTGCAACCCTTGGCACGGTGTTGTCCGCACTACGCTCAGCCAGTGAGCGCACCAGCCATCCCTATATAGGATCCGAACCCATGGTCTTGGCACTGCCAGCGCCGCACTCTCCTGAGTGAGCCATGGGGCTGGCCCAAGGCAGTGATTTTTTTAACAGTAGTGGGTGCCATTATTGAATCCTGTAAGGAAAGATAAAAGGGATTATTCAGTTGAACCCACAAAAGGAAGTTCATTCACCTGAGGTTTTAGCCTTAGACACTACAGAGTTATTATCCTGTCATTAATTCTGACGCTTTCAACATAAATATCACTGAAATATTCATCTTTGTAAGTCAAAAACATTTTCTAATTTCTTATGCCCTAGTTTTCAAGAAGTGGTTCATAGAAAAAAAATTAAAGATAAAGCAGATACTAACATTTTGTTTGTCTTAAATTTTTTAAGTGTGTTCAGGATGCAGAAATTTGATAAAGTAAGAATTGAGCATAAGCTAACCTACAAAAGCTTATCTCCTATGCTATTAGTAGAGTAACCTATCTCCAGTTTTAACATCAATCATGTTCAATATTTATTTTTATTTTTTTCTGATTATAAAAGAAACTTGAGAAATACGGAAAAAGAAAGAAAAAAATAATTCCAGCAACCATAAATACTATGAACAACATTTTATAGTACACCTTTCAGATTTTATTTAAAATGTTTGTAAATATTTTTCCATTTGATTTTATAGTGTGTCATCATCTGCTTTTCTAGCCTAACAATATACCATAAATATTATCCACATCACCAGGTATTCTTTTAAAAATATTTTTAAAGACTGTATAGTGTTACATTGTATGAATGTACCAGTATTAGTTTTCTATAACACGTTTTCTACACAACACGTTTACTACAGTCCTGTAGATGGGAAGTTCCACTGGGTCAAAATCGAAGTGTTGGCAGGATTGTGTTCCTCTCTGGAGGCTCTAACGGTGAATCCATTTCTTCTCTTACTTCAGCTTCTAGAGGCCATCTGCATTTTTTGAATGGTGGTCATTGCTCCATCTTTAAAGCCAGGAACATAACATGTTCAAATCTCTCCATAACTCTGACCTCTTCTTCCTCTTCCAAAATATTTAAGAATTCTTGTGAATACATTAAGCCCACCTATGTAATAGAGGATAATCTTCTTATATTAAAGTCAGCTACTTAGCAATCTTAATCCCAACTGCAAACTTCATTCCTTAATTTGACATGTAACAAAACATTTTCATGGGTTCTGGTAATTAGGACATTGACAACTCCAGGGTGTGGGTGGTGGGGGAGGTATTATTTTCCTACTGCAGTGCCTTAATTTAATTTCCTTTTTTTTTCTTTTAAATACTTCCCTGTACCCAGTTGTATTTGTCCATTCACTTACAGAAAGATCCTAAGTCAGCAGCACAAACATTTCACAAATAATTGTCAGCTGCTGCAACCACACTTCTTCTTTGGTATAAAAGGTATGATATTTAGAAAGTTATTTTAATGGCATTTTTCTCAACTGTCATTTAAGCAAACGTAATAAACAAACATGGTAAAAGTGCAGCTAAAACTTTCAAGGGCAATAAAATAGAAATACCTCTGGACACTTTCCTCCACATTGATTTCTTCGAAGATGTTTCTGCCCAAGAAATTCCCTGAGATATGTTTGATGAAAAGGCTCCAGCTCATTAGGCCCGCAGGGGTGCATGAGGATCTGAAGCTTAATTAAATTCTGTAAGCAATCCAACCATATTCATAAAACTTCTATTAGTAATTACCAATAGCGTTTTATTTGCTCTGAACAATTAAAAGACATTTTTAATGTTAGATATGATTAGATGCCTTTTAAAGGGAGGGTTTAGCAATAACAAGTCTATTGAATTTAGGGTAATCAACTGAGTATAAAAATTAATGCTGTTTTCCTCCATTTCTTTGGTAAAATAAGTATTTTTATTTACATATTAAAAATTGTGTTTCCCTTCATTTACTACTTTTTTTTTCTTTTCAAAGGCCATTGGCTGAAAGAAGAGATCAAAGGTAATTGTCAGAACCATCTTTAATACTATGGGAGAAAAAATATAATAAAAATATAGACCATAGAGACCAAATGCTATTGGCACCAGTTTTTTCTTTTGAAGTTTTTTATTTCATAGTCTTTGTTTATTGAGGAGTGGACTAGATCAGGCTGCCCATGAGAAATGTCTTCTCCTTATTTAAGGCACTACAATATGGTGACAGAACTAGTGGCAAGAGATTCCACAGTAGATTTATTTATTCTTAGTTTATTTACTGGTGGAAAGATTCCAAGGTCTGCTGTAAACCAAACCCCATGGAGTAACTAAGCCTCTTCTCTTGTTTAATTTTCATTCACTTAACCAATGTGTTCTTTATATACTATGTACTGTATGTTGTGCTCTGACTCAGAAAAACAAGTATTCCTGCTTCAAGGAGTCAACAGCTAGTGGAGGAGATGGACAGAATTACAGATATAATATATATAATATATTTATATATATAATATATAATATATATATAAT